GGGCGGGGGGCGGGGGGGGCGCTGGTTTCAGGGGCAAAATGACCAGCCAGTGGGAACAGTGACTGCCAGCTGCAGAAATCACACCAAAGAAATGTGTGCAAGATGACAAAGTAAATTCAACCCCACTGAGTTGGGTCACACACCCCTCTATGTATGTCCTCCTCCCCGGCACTAAGCCAGTCTCAGCACTCGAAGTTCAGAGTATGATGGGCTGGCAGACCTCAAGCACCTCAATCTTTTCTGGAATCTTCTCACTACTTGGATTACAGTAATGCGACAGGAATGCACACGGATGTGATCACACTTAAAGCTTTTCTCTTTTTTGTGGTCTCTGGAGGTTAACAGGAACGTGAGACAAAGTAACAAATGTAAGCAGCCGGGTTTGCTGTGTTTCTGCTTGGCAGTGTAACTTCACAAGGCCAGACTCTGTGACACTGCGCAGCTCTCCAGAAGTGCTTTTTTTTTTTTTTTTTTTTGTTAAGGACACATTTTCTGCTAGCAGAAAGGTGCTTTGAAGACAAAACAGATAGAGCAATGGCCACCCATGTCTCTCTCCAAGAGTCACTATAATCCTCAAATATAGTTGAAGGAATTAAGCTATATTTAATATAGGGCTTAGTGATTATGCCTCCGTAACTGACAACCGGTTGTACTCTTGCCACCCAAACTTGGATGGACATGATTTTGCAGGCACTGAAAACTCTCACCCGTGCACAAGCCGGGGACTGCAATCCTTCCGGGGCAGTCGGACAGAGCCTTCTCGAAAAGGCTGGCTCCCTGGCCACAGGCCTCTGTCTATAGTCCTCGGTAAGACTTCTGAGTAAAACTGACTTTAATTCTTTAAACCCTTGATTTTTTTCTTTAGTCAACAGGAGCCTGAGAGGAAACGGAAATGAGAGGCAGCTGAAACTGGCAGAAAGCTGCCGCCTTGGGTCCCAGTTTCAGCACCTCGTGCCATAAGTCCCAAGCCTTGGTTTTCTTATCTCTGAGAGATAATCATAATAGTACCTACCTCACTGACTTATTATTGAGAATAAAATGAAACTGAGAATTACATAAGACGTTGTCAAATCACTTGGCAAGGTCCCCATCGTACCTACTAGATGCTTAATGCATCTTGGTCCCTTCTTTGACCCCGAGCCGTGAGCAGGTGAAGCAGGTGGGATCAAGGGCTTGTAGGATTTATTAAATGGGCTCATTGATTATTAAAAAAAAGATTGAAAGACAAACACATGCAAGCCTAATTTTGTATGGAAGAATGATAGTTATGGAGAAAGTTCATAATTAACTTATATGCCCTTTTCCCAGGGAGTTTCGCTTTTGCTCAGGCTGGTCTCGAACTCCTGACCTTGAGCAATCTCACCTGCTTCGGCCTCCCAGAGTGCTAGGATTACGGGTGTGAGCCACCACGCCTGGCCAAGCAGGTTGAGTTTTTTACTCAGGAACCATCTGGGTTTTTGGCAAAACCACAGAGCCTCTCAAATGCAGCCTTCAAGGCCGGGCATGGTGGCTCACGCCTGTAATCCTAGCACTCTGGGAGGCTGAGGTGGGCTGATTGCTCGAGGTCAGGAGTTCGAAACCAGCCTGAGCAAGAGCGAGACCCTGTCTCTACTATAAATAGAAATTAATTGGCCAACTAATATATATAGAAAAAATTAGCCGGGCATGGTGGCGCATGCCTGTAGTCCCAGCTAACTCACTTGAGCCCAGGAGTTTGAGGTTGCTGTGAGCTAGGCTGACACCATGGCACTCACTCTAGCCTGGACAACAAAGTGAGACTCTGTCTCCAAAAAAACAAACAAACCAAAAAATGCAGCCTTCACAGGGATACTGAGGGCCTTGTTTTTTTTAGGGATGGAGTGAGTCGATTGTCACAATAGCAATCCCCATAGAAAGAGCTTAGTGTGCATTGTTGCCGACTGTTGTGGACTGTTGTGGACTGTTGTGGGCTGTCCATTGTTGCAGACCATTGTGGGCTGTGCATTGTTGCAGGCTGTTGTGTGTTGTGCATTGCTGTAGACTGTTGTGGAGTGTGCATTGTTGCGGGCCATCATGGGCTGTGCATTGTTGAGGACTACTGTGGGCTGTGCATTGTTGTGGGCTATTGTGTATCGTGCATTGTTGTGGGCCATTGTAGGCTGTGCATTGTGTGGGCTGTTGTGGACTGTGCATTGTTGTGGGCTGTTGTGGACTGTGCATTGCTGTGGGCTGTTGTGGACTGTGCATTATTGTGGACTGTTGTGGACTGTGCATTGTTGTGGACTGTGCATTATTGTGGGCTGTTGTGGACTGTGCATTATTGTGGACTGTGCATTGTTGTGGGCCGTTGTGGACTGTGCATTGTTGTGGACTGTTGTGGACTGTGCATTGTTGTGGACCATTGTGGACTGTGCATTGTTATGGGCTGTTGTGGACTGTGCATTGTTGTGGACCACTGTGGACTGTGCATTGTTGTGGACCGTTGTGGACTGTGCATTGTTGTGGGCCGTTGTGGACTGTACATTGTTGTGGACCGTTGTGGACTGTGCATTGCTGTGGGCTGTTGTGGACTGTGCATTGTGTGGGTTGTTGTGGACTGTACATTGTGTGGGCTGTTGTGGGCTGTGCATTGTTGCAGATCATTGTGGACTGTGCATTGTTGTGTGCATTGTTGTGGACCATTGTGGACTGTGCATTATTGTGGACCGTTGTGGACTGTGTACTGTTGTGCAGGCGTGCGGCCACACCTGCCTGTCATCGGGTAGGTGGGAGGGAGTGCCACAAAAACACTCATGCTCTTTCATTCAGCCCAACTAGACCGTGCTTGAGAGGGGGAAAGGTAAGACCGGGACAGATGAGCAGAGGGGAACAGAGAGAAGAGATGAGAGAAGGGAGGAGGGAATTGTAGAGTGCGGAGCTAGACATACTTATGGCTTTCTGAAGCTTCAACTTCAATCGTTGAAGAGAAAACTGGAACCCAATTCTTCGCAATCATTAATAGTTTGGAGGAAAAGAGAAAACAGGTGATTTTGGTTTTAGCACAAGGCATGAAAGTTGATCATGGCAGGTCACCACCCAAAAACTGTGAGGTATCTTACAGCTTGCCCCGCACGCTGGGGGTCGGGGAAGCAAAGCCAGAGAGAGACACAAGTGGGAGAAGCAGTCCATGCACAGTTTAGTGGGGACAGAGAGTCAGGCACCCAGGGGGCTGCCAGTCTAGGAAATGACAACAGGAGGTTATGGAGGACAGCCCCCCCTGTGACCGGGGTGCGTCGAGCCCAAGGAGCTCCACAGACTCCCCTGTGGGACTGGAAGGGACCCAGGGAAAGGAACCAGAGCTGCGAAGGCCTTTTTCTGCCTGGAGTCTGTCTTAAAAAGAGCTTCCTCCCCACATCCCCCAAATTGGAAACTGTAGCCGATCCGGCATATTTGGCCCTGAAATTCTTAATATGTGGTTAAGCATCAACCCAGAAATGTCCAAGTCAAAACACTTGCAGGGATTATCCCGGGAGTCAGGTTCATGGGTACAGAAGATGAACTTCAAACTGTCTCCGCCCTGAGTCATCCATTTCTCCTGCTGGAGACTGCTGTGTTTTTCTCTTTCTTTGTTCCTTGAGCTTTAAGAAACTTGGATCGCTGTCTCAGTCTTAGCCTTTTTACCTCTTCTTCATCTTTAACTTTTTTTTTTAAATATCAGGCCCAAACACACCCTACTGAAATCGAGTTGTAAGGGCTTTCCCATTCTGCAACTTGACAGAGAGAGCTATCTTTTGTATCCTTTCTTTCCCTTTTATGTAAATAAAGGCGCCCCCGGGTTGTTTTGTTTCTGTGTGTGAAGGGTTTTTCTCAACCCCACATTTATCTAACCCTTGCTCCAGGGAGATTCGCAAGCCCTGAGAAGTTGGCCGCAGCAGGTGGCGGCGGCGGTGGAGTGGGAGTAAGAACCTCCCGCGGGGACCCCAGTAAGAGCCCGGAGACGCTGCTCCCGAGGTTGGGGGGGCGGACAGGGGCCCCCTGGCTCACCTGGGAACTCCCAGCTATTAGGTGGTCAAAGGGGAAAATTCTCTAGAAGCCGGGAACAGCCAGGCTTCCCTTTAGCCTCCGGCTCCAAGTGTTGTATACGAGATGAAATTTTCTTGAAAATACCGGTTCAACTCTGATTAGATGTCTTAGGCACTTTGTGGCAGGAAGGCTGCACATAAAGACATCCTTCATTCGAGAACAGCCCACAGAGAAGTGAATGCTGCACTAGCAGATGTTCATCTGGCCTCACCATGCATGTACCGAAGGTCGCGCTGCCGTCACGCAGCAGGGAGCCAGGCCAGGGGACCTGCAGGAAGACTGGAGAACGCTGCATTAACCTATAATGTCGTCACCTCTGGAATGTTTTGAACACTTACTAGATCTCCCT